AGTAAGTTTGAAATTCCAAAATACAAGATGTAGAATAAATCATTCTGTAAGACATTATAGGATTAAAATCATGTTAAAGCAATAGTATGTCATAAAAACCACTGGTGGAAATTTTACTGATGAAAAGCTTCAATTCTAAAAACGTTGACCTTTTTGTAAATTCATAGATTTCTAGATATCTATAAAATTGCAATGTTGCTCTTTTCTATGTATTGCGTGTGACTTAAGATTAGGGAAGACAATCTATTTTTACCTTCTTTGCCTTAGATTCCTATTTTTGTGCTCACATGAAGCAGAATTTATTCAAAAACTTAAACATGAGAAGAAGACACTTGCTGTGGCCTTCAACTCGACATTTAGATAAATCGATGACGTATTATCAATTAACAAAATTACCTCCATTCGTATGTCAACTCGATATATCCCAATGAATTAAATAAAAGATACCACAGAGTATGACACATCTGTTTCATATTTGGATATTTTACTAGAAAAAGACGTTTTTGGTAACCTACTAACAAAACTTTTTGAAAAAACTTGACTTCAATTTTTTAATCGGCAACGTCCCTTACTTATGTAACAATATACCCTTTCCACCCCCATAAGGGGTTTATATCTCCCAGTTGATTCGATACGCAAGGGCATGCTCTACGTATAATTTCTAAAACGAAGCAAGATATTGACAAACAAGTTGATGAAATAAGGATATCATCAGTCTCCTTTAAAGTCATCATTTCGCAAGCTCTATGGTCGATACAATGACCTTGTCAGCAAAAACAATTTATCATTAATTGAATGCTGACTGACGTTGTTAGGCCATCACACTGAATTATCTATAGATTTTCCGTTTGCTCGATCATGACAATGAGCACACAGCGGGTGTGACTGGTCGACAGGGGATGCTTACTCCCCCATGGCACCTGATCCCACCTCTGATGTTTTTAGAGGTCCGTGTTTGCTCTGCTTCCGATATTTGTATTGTTTCAATAGACTTTTGGGCTTGAATACTGTTCGTTATACCTGTTTGCCAGGTAAAGTGGGAGAATTTTGTAAGATTATTTTGTATAGAATTACATTGGAAACGACAGAAAGTAACATACGAGGGGTGATCAAAAAGTTCGCGAACTAATTGAATTACTTCCTTAAAAGAAATAAAATGAGGTTTTAGCGTTTATTATTTTTTAAAGTAGTCCTCTCCGATTTTAATGCACAAGTGCCATTGTTCTGCCCATGCGCGAATCACGTGATCCAGGCGGTCACGTGACATGCTTCGTAGCGGTCTGTTCACGGAAGCTAAGGGATTTTTCCGAGTCTTATATTTCTTTCCATGCAAGTAATTTTTTATAACAAGAACAGACCATCTGTCAGAAATGGCCAAATCTCGGCAATAGGATGGGTGGATAAGGATATCCCTTCCCAGAATTAGCATGGCGACCATCACAACCCGAGTCCTCTGTCTCGGGAGCGTCGTTTATTCAATGTGGAAAACGTATGAGCACCTTCATTTTTTCATATCTCATATGTTTAAAGTCTAAAGTAAACGATATTTTAGGGATTTAATAATTATATTATTGCTCAGATATTCAACTATTTTTCTTACTGTAATTTGGCGATCTTTCAAAACAAATTGCTCAACTAAGGACACTTTTTTTCACCGGCCTGCTTTCGCTGGGCAACAGAACAAACATCATTTTTAACCATCTCCCTGTCTTCACTAAAACATTCAATCCAATTAATGATTGAACTTCTGGTAAGTCTTTTGTCTTCATAAACCTTGTACAAATTAACATATTCTACTGCAAAGGAATTTCCGAGATATACGTTAAACTTTATAGCCGTTCGTTGCTCGAGTACGACTGAGTCAACCATTTTTTTGTCACAAGTGACCTACATACTGACGTAATTTTCATATTGTGACGTCACAAACACGGAGCAAAACATTATTTAACATTTGCTATTTATAGAACATGTGTATGACTATATGTGTGTGAAATTTCATTCTGATCTGAATTGTGGTTTTTTAAATATAGAGATAGTTCGCGAACTTTTTGATCACCCCTCGTACATAAGCTTCAAGGAAAACTTACGATTTCTTTATATCTTAGGGATTTATTAGTTATATCATTTCTTTTCAAACTCAGTCAAAATATATATATAAATCCATGCATCAAATTTTTGTTAGCGTTATGTATCTTTAAAGGGTTTTTATCACGTCTCAACATTTTTTGATATGACAAAGTTTACATGTTATTTAGATCATATATTTAAAATTATTTGCTAGAAAATTAATATTTTTGATGTTTCAGCGATTCAAAGTTTGAATTTCTCAATATGCATATTTTGATTGCCGATGTTAGGCGCCATTGCTCTGACGTCATAGGTGTCAATCCTGGTCAAGCGAAGTACTTAATTATTGTGTATACAAAACGGCTTATTTGTTGCGTCTATTAAACCTGTTAGAAAATAAAGATCTGATCACTGGATAATTGACAGCTAGAAAGGTATAATTTGTGGCTTGTGCACATTACAAGAAAGGTTTTAGGAAGATTTTTTCCATATTTCCTGGACTTGGTCGAAAGTTGAAAAGGAGCCCTTTTTCTGCAAACGCGATGGCTTTCTTCTCCATTCAGAACAATCATTTATTCCCTATCGCGATTTTTTTCTGTACTATAAAATATTTGAAGAAAATGGCATTTAAAATAAATAAATAAATAATAAAATAACCAACTCGCATAGAATATAGTAGGAAAACCGAATGTTGTGAACTTTGTAATGGCGTAGGGCACCATTGAAGAGTTGTCATTTCTAGTGCATGATATTCACTGCTGGAACAGATGGAAGACATACAGGATTTTATTTATATATTATTGATTAAAATACTGAAGAAGGAGAATGTAAAATTCCCATATTTATAAATAGTTACGAAGTCAAACTTTAGCAATTCGTTCTATTTAGTCTTAGTCCCGAGTTGTCAACGGCCTCGTCTTCGGTGTCGGTGTCCTCTCTGAGATTGCTCCAATTATCGGCATATTTTCTTGGTTATTTCTTTCTGCTAAATGTTCATACATAAAAGATTGACCGTCCATAACCAAAAGACTATCGTCGATGTAAAAATTTCCACCGACCATATTGTGTAGTTTATTTATTTAACGGCAAAGCCCCTGGGGGCTCGGGGGCGAAGCCCCCAGAAGCTCCTGGATTCTAGAGAATTTGTAGGGTAAAAATGAAGTCTACCGAGTAGACATTTTAACATTTTCTCGATGAAACTATGATTAACGCCAACTTTGACAATTTAAAGGGGCGCGCGCCGGGTGCGCCCCCCTTCAATCCGCCACTGGTTTTAAAGTAAAACCCGTATTGAATAAAGAGATCGAAGGATTCAAATTAACACAATTCTCATTAACTTCTGTCGCAGATTCCTAAAATTTTCCAGCTTAAAAACGGCAAGATTCGTGTTTTCTAACATAAAAGCCATGATTTTATAAAGTTATAACTATTCTTTTCCTTAAGGCTTGCGAAACATTTTATCTATTTTACATATGTTCCAAGTGTTTAAATGCATCAGTAGTTATCATATATACTTTGACCTTTGGAAAGAACGATTATAGGCATTTATGCCCATTGTTCGATCTAATTCGTGTTTAATGAATAAAATAATTTTAAATCGAAACGTTTGACTGCTGATCAGTGCACAGCTCCCCAACCGTCACAGCATTGTTTACATTATTTGAGGTGTCCTTTCGAAGTGTTTTCCTTGGTAATTATCAATGAAATGAAACCTCGTAATTCAAGGAAATATTTTCACTTTTTTATTTTTCTGTAATTGTATATATATATTGCGAAAACAAAATAGAAAAGTCGTTAAAAGTATTTCAAATCTTTGCCATGATGTATTCATAATTATTCTTCACTTCCGAGTTAGACAAGAATATCTTTCAACTGTCCCTTTATCAAATAAAACCGCTTGAAACAAGTTTAGAGATAATAAAACCTAGATAAGGCTATTCAACCGATTTTCAATCTTGATTTTTAATTAAGAAAAACAAATCAATATTCTCCATTTTTCATTCATTGATAATCTCTTCACTGTTACTATGAATCTCGCAGGGGACATAAAACAAACAATCAACCATTGTTATTACGTCATTTTTAAGAAAAAAGTGCTTTTTTGGACATTAAAAAAATTATATAGTGTAATTGTATGTCAACAAGTTGTTTTTTTTTTCCATTTTCAACATATGGTACCTGGCATTTAACCCAGTAAAAAAATGTTCAAAGACAATTATTGGACAGAAGTTTACTTTAAAGGGGAAAATATATGCAATTGAGTGTTCAATTAATTAATCTTGGTCAAACTTTTTCTTCCAAAAATTAAATATCTTTGCTTGAATAGGCACCTCTCTGACTAAAGAAGTGATATCTGTTTAGTTAAACAACTTTATGTTTGACCAAGCTACATAATTTTGTGAAAAGTGGGAAAATGCAACAGCTAAAAATAATTTTTGAAAAAAAAATCGGAAATACGAGTATATGAAGTTTTGTTACTGTAAAGTTTCCAGAAACATTTTCAAGAGTATTTTTTTTCATTTTACTCAATTAAAGATTTTCTAATTAGATTTCGATTGAAAGAAATATTGAAAAATAGCAATGTTACCCTTCTGTATGGGAGATAAGAAAATTTATTTGGTATACATTTTTAATATCCCCCCCCCCCACGGTTTGATAAAACGTTATCAAAAAGAATTTTCTTCCATTCAAAAACAAAAAAAAAAATCCTTCGTTTATGGTGCTTATCAACTACAGTCCAGTGCAAAAAGATTATATTTCAGTAAATAATCAATCATTAATATTCATCGAATTATCATCAATCCATTTTCCCAGTCTTTTGTATTTCTTGCATAAAAAGAAGACTTTCCCGTTGTTCCCAGAGTGAATGCCAAATTATTCTATCATATTCGGCAATTAGCATCGAAACTAAATTTCTTTGGTAAAAATAACACTGATAATTAATTATTTATTCTGCAAAACGTCTTTTCTTTTGTACAAAAGTTATCACATCACAGAATGTACAATATACGTGTATTTGAAAATTATGGTCCATGTGAAAAAGATGATAAAGATGATCAAAAATAAATAATGCCCTAGAAAGTTCTTCTAACGCATAACAGTGGGACAAATTTTCGCTCTTTATCCTTTTGTCATTTACAAAAGTTTACATTCATCATACTCACTATAATTATAATGCGACTTTAATAAATTTACTTCAGATGTGAACACATTAAAAAAAACGAGATCAATATGAACTATTTCCTGACGCTCTTAAAATATGAGTGCACACATTTACAAAGTACTTAGTGTTCATCATTTGGTCAATGCTTTAATAAAAAAACATAAAACACGCATACAATTTACAACAAAATCTTCCCAATAACTTCGCAAAAACAATAGCATTGCCGCGTTTTAAATCTCTCAAACATATGTATTTTATCTATGCAAACATTTAAAAAAATTCTCATCTCCCAAACATGTCTATGAAATAAGGAATGGGAAATCCTATACTTCTTCATAACTATATGATATCAATTCGTAGTTTGATTTCATATGGTGCATTCATAAAGCTCTGAGCTCATAAAAATCGAATTTAAATCACACTAACCAAAACAAATAATGATCTTCCTACAGTGTTAATTTTTATCTTTTGACATCAATGTATTGACATACATCAAATCCTGTGAAAAACAATTGAACACCCTGGGTGTTTCTGCTCAATATGTCTAGGAACTTCGGCGATGCTGAGAGGAATTATTTGTGGGCAGTATGGACACTTAAATATTCTACCTTCAATTGGCATGTTTTTATCACTAACCACAACATTAGGCGAAGCAAACCTTTGTCTCGGTAAATAGTGTCTCTGCTGTGTAATCCCCTTGGCAGTTTGCATCTGCTGAGTTAATGCTTGCACTCTGGGGCTTGACTGCATTCCTAAAAGCATTCTAGAATTTGGCGCACTACTTGGTCGTACTTGAAACTGGTTATAATTATTCAAATTCGGATCATTTTGAGGAGTGCCTGGTCTGATATTAAATATTTGGAAGGCATCCGGAGAAACATCCTCGGCTTCCAGATTTGGTTTGTGTACAAGCCTTGCAGGAGGTGAAGACATTTGGCGAGACAAATCGAGTACACTTCCTGCATTTCCTCGTGAAACAATAGCAACTGAGTACGGTGGTGGTTGAGTGGTTGGTGGAGATGATAATGTTGGGCGAACATTTGGAACTTTTAACACAGGACGACTGACAATAGGTGCGGAATCCCCTGCCGATGGCACTGGAGAACTCATTCTACTGGAATTAGGACTATGTAATCTTTGTAATCTATCTGTCATACCAAAGGATGTGCCTCGAACAGAAGGATCAGTCTGTGACGATAGCGGTTCTTGAGGAGAGTTTATGGATTTACCAAACTGTGTTTGTTGAAATCTGATAAGAGGAGGTGGTGCTCTCATCAATGGGGGAGGATCATTTACATTCCCAGAACCTTGCATTGAAGATCCAGGAAAGTCAGCATCACTTCTAGGAGTAAACGACCTTGTTGCATCCCTATGCACTGGTCTGGACTTACGCAGAGAAGACTTGCTCAGAAATTGGGGTGGCTGTTGAAGAAGAGGAGAAGCCATTGACTGTGGTGAAGGGAATGATGGGCGAACTTGCGAGACGATGGGGATTGCTGGCCTTAATAATGGATTTTGAGAGATCTGATTTGATAAACTACCACGTTCCTGGGTTACAGACGTAGTTATTCTTGAGACATTTGGACCTTGTAAAGAAACACTGGCGGCACCTGACTGAGACTTTGTTGAAGGTGTTACTTTTCCTTTTGTCAAACACTGTACCCTTGTGAAAAGATTCTCTTCGATTGCCACAGAGAGAGTTACATTTTCAGTGCTTTTTCCATGTACATCTCTTATATGTTGAAACACCACCTGTTCATCTTTATGTCTAAAACGCTTGCATTCAGGACAGGCATTAACAAAAAATTCATTATGTTGTTTTTCAAGATGTGAATAGATGAAATCCAAAGATGGCATGTGTCCATTGCATTTCAAGCACTTATAAATATCTTTTTCCATAACTACTTTATCCGTTGAGGAATGACTGTCTCCTAATGCAACTTGGATAGTTCGAAGATGTTGTTTGGCAGCACTAGATAAAGCTACTGGTGGGCTTTTCTGTTGCATATTTTGATGATGATACTGTTTGATATGACGGTGTATGTCTGGTTCTGTTGCTCCTTCATACTGCCTGCAGTATGGGCACAAGAATAATTTCTCTATGTCTCTATGACTAAGCCTCAAATGTTCCACCATTGTTGCTAGAACTGGTGCATGCACGTTACATTTTTCACACTTGTATGTTGTGCACGTTTTTCCATCATTCTTTTTCTTTGGTGCAAGTGGATATGATGAAGGTGGTACCTTTCTTTGAGGTACACCTACAATTGCACTAGGAACTGCCCTAGGAGGAATGGTGGATGAATACAAATTAGGGTACTGTCTTGGTGAAGTAAGTGCTGATACTATACTCACATTGCTTTGAGAAAGACTCTGATGATCTTGATTATGAACCTGTGAATACGGAACATTACCAAAAGCACTTTGTGACTGAGGTAAAGATGAAGGTGTGTCTGACCAATCTATGTCCGCCTGATCTCTTAAACTTACTACATCCACTATCTTCAAACCCATATCATTGGATTCTTCTTGGCTGGTATCATCACTTTAAAAGATAAAAGTTTTTAAATAGAAATATTTATTCTATTTATTCATACTACCGTAAAAGTGGAATTTTTAGCGAGACGCAAATTTAGCTATTTGTCCTTAAAAATCAGTATTTAATTTCTGCGAGAAGTAATTTTAGCAATTTTATGGCGATTAGAAAGATAATGTTACCTCTAATGTGCAATAAATTGTAAGCGATATTTAAATTTAGCGACCTCAACACCCTCACTAAAAATGCCAAAACTGAATCCTCGCTAAAATTTTTGCTTATAGGGTAATAAATAACAATAAATCAATATCATTTTCCCTTCTTTCATTCAGGATTGTCAAAAACGGTCAAATCGAAGAAAAGAAAAAAAGGGGTGACTTACCGGTATTTCTTTTCTCCTGTCTGCACATTTTCAATTACAGTCTCATCTGCCGTGTTTTTATTTCCATATTCTTTTGCAAGAGCTTCAATACCGTCCTCCACAGGTTCTGTTTCAGTTATTCTAATTAGCGTTTCTTCACTTCCCTTAGCAGTTGATTCAGGTTCCTTGTGCATATCGTCATGTTCCACCGTCGTGCTATCTGCTTCCGCTGAAGTTTTCTCGTGCCACCGTGATTTACTTGATCTTGGGGAGCTTTCTGCACTTGCTTTCTCTCGGGGAAACATATCGGAAAATTTTTCAAAAATGTTTCCTTTATCATTAGTGCTTACAGAATGACTGTGCACAACACCCTTGCTAGAATCATAAAAATCAGGCGAAGATTTGTACATAATAGGTTCATTTGGATGTTCCGTCTTAAAATGATCGGCAATGCCATCCTTATTCCCAAAAAATTGTTTATCACATAATGAACAGGTAAACTGAATATCAGGACGATGGTTATCGTTGATGTGATCAAGAATATCTTGCTGTAAGGAAGAGGAGAAGTCGCAATAGCTACAACAATAACATCCCTTTCCCTGTCTATTTCCAGGGAGCACAACTTTAATTATCACAGCCTCTGGAGACTGTTCTACTTGTGGAATAATTTGCTGGGGAGAAGATGATGGTGCTGAAGATGGAGATTTAAGAACTTTGTAGTACTGTTTAACATCACACTTTTCCGATGGCTCTATCAGTACTTCCTCATTCGGATGTTCTTTTCCAGAATGTGCATATGCCATACTACTGTTCTTGAATATTTTACTGCATCTCATGCATGTCATTTTGGTGTTCTTCAAATGAACATAAACATGTGTTTCTACATTTTTGCGAATTGATTGAAACCCGCATTGATTATATACACACTCGCACATATCAGAATCACTCTCTTCATCGTGTCGGGGACTCGGCACATGAGGATGTGGAGAATCACCCTTTACCACTTCCTGACTTAGCAACTTTATACCTTCTTGCATAAGATTGGATCTATTTTCTGTGAAATTGATTTTCTTTTTAGGACTCATGCTTTTTCTCGCTTTTCTTTTTGCTGGTCTCCCTGGTTTAAGCTTCTTCCTTGGTTCAAGAATCAAGTTCTGCTTAATTTTCAGTCTAAGTGGTGGAACAACAGAATCAGACTGGTTTGCACGTTCGTCCTCAGGATATCGAACTATTTCTGCAGTCAGTTTTCTATTGAAGTGATATCCAGTTGCCTGTTTACGAGCTGATGGTCTTCGTTTTTTCTTTGCTTCAGGTTGCATCTCAGAAAGCAAAGTTTCTTTCACTTCCTCTATCTTTCCTTCTTCTTTCTGAATTGTCATTTCCTTGTTTTGCTGTTCTGATTCATTTCCTTCTTGTGTTTTCTCATATATTGGATCCTCCGAGTCCATGTCTGACTTTTCTGTAACATTAAGATACTTCATGAAGTCGATAAGAATAACATGACATGGTTTACATAGTTCTTCTAGCATCATGCTTTTTTCCTGTCTGTCTGTGTCAAGAGAGCGTGGTTGTTCTTCTACAGACGCAGCAACAACATTAGCTGGGGACGGAACTTTTTCAAAAATATCAGAAACATCCTTCTGATTAGTGTTCACATGTACTTGTTCAAAATTGTTTTCCAATTTCTGTTGTTTTGTTTTCAACCTTCTTTGTTTTTCCTCTCTCTTAAAGGCTTTCTGGGATTGTTCTAATAAGTATTCTCTCTCCTCTTTACTCTGTCTCATTGCAATAATTTCAAGAGGTGACCGTGACGCTTTCTGTCGAAGCTGGAATACTCTTTGTGTTGGAGAAATGTTTTTCCCAGCTTTCTTCTTTGATGAATGATCTCCATGTTCTGGGCTTCCTTCCTCTGTCACCTTTAGGTGATCATCCTTGAGAGTGGTGAAGTTTCCACTGTGATTAAGACTTAGCTCTGAAGAACTCGAATTTTCATCTTTATCAACATTTATCTCTAGTTTCTCTGTCAGCTGATCGTTTATAGAAATATCTAATTTAGCATCATCGGAGACATCAGTCACTTCTGATTGCATACAAGAATTGACGGAAATTTCTTCATCGGTGGTCTTCTTCTGTATATTTCTAAAATAAAGTCCTGGAATTTCAGAATCGCTCGGTATGTAATCTGGTTTCTGATCTGCATCTTTTGAAAAAGTTTCTGTACTACTTTCCTCTGCCGGAACTTGTCCGACTGAGGCGGAGTTTGCCTCTTCAATTCGGTTTGGAATTGAAAAATTGTCCGTATCTTCTCGTATGACATTTTGCAATGCTGCATTTGCATTAACCACAATATCAATACTAGTTAATGTTTTGCCTATGTTATCTTTATTCTGATGTTCTTGGAGAATTATTTCATCTTCGTTCTCAGTTTTCTCTTCTGATGCTATCTTTTCTTCATGCATTTCGTTATTTTCTGTTGAAAATGCTGTAGACTCTTCGGATTCATCCATCGACATTTCTTCTGCAGAATCTATTCTCTTTTCAGAAAGAAAATTACCTTCTTTACTTTCTTCCTCGTCGGTTTTCCCGATCTCACTACTGCCTGTCTCATCAAAGTTTGTAATCAAAGTCGTCTCGTCTTTTAATTTAGTAGTACTATCCAGAGCAGCATCTGACTTTTCGATATTCTCCTCAATTATTTCATTCATTTCCATATTTTCTTGGCATACATTATCTCCTGTGGATTCCACCTCTATAGCCTTGCCATTAACGGACTGTTTTTTACTTTCGTCTTCTGCAACAAATATAGTTGAAGAATCGGGTTTTATAGTACTTCTGATATCAATGTCTTTTTCGTCAATGATATCTGATCTTTCAGTACAGTCCTGTTGCTTCTCGTATATTCTCGTCGTCGTTTCTTCTAAAAACTGTTTTTCAGTTTCAAGAGTTTTCTTTGAATTTGAACTATACGCTGTTGATTCATTTGGAGACGGAGCATCCTTAAAATTTTCAACATAAGCATCACTTTCAAAGTCTTCCTCTTTCGTGTTTGAATTTATTTCATTTTCTCTAGCACCTGCAATGCCTTCATTTTCTTTTGTTCGTTGGCTGTTCAGACATTCATCATTGATAATTTCAATTGCAACCTTTTCAGTTCCAGTTGTTGCATTTTCGTCAGTACATGCAGCTTCACATTCCACTTTCGTCAGTTGTGGTTCTGGTGGGCCCAGATTTTGCTCAAGCACTTCTCTTGAGCTGTTTTCTTCTGTTATTAGATTTGCATCTAGTGTTGGGGGAGTTGCCCGATTCTGTTCATTCTTACTTTCTTCTTTTTCAGATTCTATGTACTGGGAAACTTTATCTACACATAATCGTTCACCTTGTCTGTCTATCATTTCTTCATTTTCTTCTGGCTTCAAATTGATTGTGTCAACATTTTCATGTTCGCCTGTTTCCTCAGCTTCTTTAGATAATATTTCATCTGTAGAAGTGCTGAGTCGACTTATCTCGTCTTCATTGGATTGAGCTTGGGAGCAATCTTTATTCGCATCTACATTATTACCAAGCTCCTCTTCCATTTTCTCGGGATGAATTTTCATTTTCTGTATTTTTTCTGCTTTGCCATCTCTTCCAATTTCATTTCCTTCTTTTTCGTATGATGAAGTGATAGTACTACTTTTTTCTTGTAATTTTATCGCCTTTGAAGAAATATTTTCGTGTTTTTTACTTTGTCTCTCCTTGTTTCCAATTTCTGCATTCTCAGTACAGGTTTCTGTATATAATTTCATCTTACAATGAGGCTTTTCTGTAGCAGTGTCATAAACTTGTTTCAAAGGAGAGTTACCTTTAAGTTTAACGCCACCTGGTCCAATAATTTTCAGAGTGCCAAATGTAAAGACACTTCGACTGCTCGTATACTGTTCAGTGCTCTCTTCCATTGAAATTTCTATGAGAGGAGAGCTGTTTTTATCTGCATTTTCTGCTTTTTTCTGAGGATGTTCCTGCTTAATTTTTGATAATTTCGGAATTGTGCTATCGTGAAATATCTGTTTTCTCGACGGTTGCGGCATTTCCTCAGGTTCAAAATTTTTATTTTGATATTTTTCAGATAGTTTCTTCGGTGGTCTCCCTCGCCTTTTAACTTTTGTTACTGATTTTTCAGGTTCTGATGATTTATTTTCTCTACTGTCATTTGATTCATCGATGGTCATCTTTGGCTTTGCTTGTGAAATTAATTTTTCTGATGAAACTACTTGAGAAGAGTCAATTCTTCTGTTATCCGCATTTTCTTGTGGCTTTGGCACATTAAATTTCTCATCATTCGTCTGAGCTTTCTGTCTGTTCTCATCCCTATCTATGGAAGATTCACGACTGACATCATCCAACTCTTCTTTGCGTATTTTTCTTTTTAACGAAACTTCATCAAGGAGTTCAAAATCACTACTCAATGTTCGCTTTCTTTTAAATTTTGAAGCTGCAACAGATGAAAGTGTAACTTTTTTCCTACGAGTCATTAAACTATCTTGACTACGGAGCAATTTCCTTGGTCCCAGTCGTATTCCCTGATACGTCTTTCGAATCTTGGTTTTCTGTCTTGAAGATGAACCACTAATATTTGAATCGATACTTTCTATGTCTGAATCAACTCTTGATACAGACTGCTCTCTGGATTCACTTTCTCCCATACCTTCTTTCTTTATTTCTATGTTTTCTATTGTCTCCAATTTGTTTTTCCGCGGGCGTCCTCGTTTCACAGCAACAACCTTCTCCAAATTTCGAAGTGCTTCAGACTTGTTGCTGGGTTTCCTTAAATTCACTTCTACTTTGTTGGAGGTTAGTTTTAGTTTACTAGCTTTAACCTTTTCTTGAATCATTTTATGAATACTCTTTGGACGGCCACGCTTTTTAATAGGAGCAGGTTGAGGGAGTAGATTCTCCTGAATGGATTTTTCAGCAGTTTTAACATTCTCAGAAGGATGTTTTATTGTGACAATACGTTCAGTTGCTCCAGGTGTAGATGATTCCGAGTCTAGTCTTCTGATGCTGATTATCAAATTATCAGTTTGTAAAGCATCTTCGTCCTCATCATTTTTTTCTAATTTGGATTCTGTTTCTTGAACATTCTCAAGCTTTTTCTTTTTTCTGCCTGGTTTCTTTTTTACAAACTGGCGATTCTCAGAAGTATTTTCACCAACTGAGTCTGTATTTTCCATTTTTAGTGGGTGACTTTGAAGACGTTTTAACTTTTTCTCTGTCTTGGATTTTGTAATACGTTTACTAATACCTTGAGCATACTTAACTCCTTTCTTACTGAATTTCCATTTCACCGGGGCCCCTGATTCGTCTTTGCTGATCTTTTCAAGGTAGTTGACAATTTTCCTGTGGCCTACGGAGGTCTTTGCTTTGCTTCTGGTTATCAGCTTATCTTGAGTGTTTGACAACTCCTGAAAACAGAAAAAGAAGTCAGGCATCTTTATTTTACACTGATATGTCAAGAAAATAATAGTATATGTTTGAAAGAGTAATCTTTTTTCACAAAAATTCCTGTTATAGTGGCAACTCTATTAAACAAAATCGCATGGACATTCTATTCATATGACCGAATATCCGGATGAAGAAAGATTATTTAAAAATTAATTTAGTAACAGGTAATAGATAAATAATTTTAAGTTGTTTTTCATAGACACTTTCAATAGATGATATCAAGAGAAAATGAGCATGGATATATCGTATACATTGCATATATTCCTCATTATATATTATAACCGTCACGGTAGCTCAGTCGGTAGAGCGCTCGCTCCTTGATCGGAAGGCCGTGTGTTCGAATCATGGTCGCGACTGACCTAAGTCGATAAAAACTAGGTAGCAACTGTTCTTTTGCCAAGCACTCGGCACTTTGAAGGGAAAGTCGCGGTCCTTCGGATTAGACTTTAAAAACCAAGGCCCCGTGTCACGGTAGGCGTTGGCACAATAAAGAACCCTCACTGCTCCATGGCCCTGAGTGCCGTGTAAAGGTCTAAATTTGAAGCTCTTCACCGGTATATAGTGACGTCTCTCTATGAGTGAAAAATTCTCGAATGGGACGTAAAATAATATACGATCAAACAACCATTATATAATATAGTCTTAAACGCTTCCTATTTTATTTCTAGGTAAATGCACGGAACAAATGGCATAATAATTCCGTGGATAAGAAATAATTTCTGTATGTTTTCCAAAAACTGTCAGCGATCTTAAATTGTGTCACATTAATTTCTGTACATAAAGAATCAAATAAACATATTCTTTCAGAATTTTTTTGAAAAAATTTTCAACTATCATGCCAAAAGCGGTTCACAAATGTAATATATTCAACATACAAGCGAAAGTTAAACTTGCCTCTTTGCAAGTTATCATGACAGCAGTCAAAAGGTATCTTTAAATCATGATCAATTTCATTTTAAATGCTATATGCAGACATTCCACTGATAGCGAAACACCATTGATGCTTCCATTTCCTGTCTATTGTTTTTTTTTAAATGGATCATTTTCAACTCTAAAAAAATTTGCAAACGTCGCATGGTATTGTCTATAATGATAAGGAAGTTTTATTCCATTTGTGTTTTAACCTAAATTCAACGTAACCAATGTTATCAGCTGATAAAGAATTTTATCCAACTTCCTGATTTTCTAGTTCTTGACAGAAAAAAAGGACTTAAAAGCAATTTCATGTTTTAATAATGACAGACTCTTACAAAAAACTATTCCGTTTCCGTTAGCATCTCGTATTTTCTGAGATTGTATTTGAAACACTTTTTTTTTAAATTTCACCCGCTTTGAAGTTTTTCTTTAATAAAATTCAATGTCAGAAATACAAAATCGTAATAAATGTATAATTCCTGGGAATTTATAGAGTACTTCAGAAAACCATGACCTACTTTATGGATTTATAAGGCATTTTATTTACATTATTAAACATTTAAAATGTTTCTCTTTTGATGAAAGCTTATCAAGCGATATTAGGTTTCAAAAAAAAAAAAAAAAAAAAAAAAAGAATAGAGGAACTGTGAGCATTCATGAGCTCACAAAATGATATCCGCCGCTCCTAGAAGAGTATAACAGCAAATTCCATTTTTGCTGTGAGACAGTTCAAGTATCTGTCCGATCAGAACTAAAAGGTGCACAGTGGGACTAAGTAAGAAATGTTCTGTTGAAATCTGATTAATATTTTTTTCAGTGGCATAGGATAAGTGGCAGATAAGAGATGGCTACACCCAATTTGATAAAGAATGGCTGTGTCCAGTTTTGCTAAGGAGACCCCTAATACAAAGTATCTGTCCAATCGGAGGTACAAAATGGTACTGTGTAAGATAGATTTTTTGAGGTTTCATTAAATTTTATTCCGTGGTCTAAGAGGAGTTGCGGATTTAAGGTGGGTAACAACACCCCCCCCCCCCCATGTTATAGCAACAATGACAGTATCAGTTTTGCTATGGAAGACCCTATATGTCTGTCCGATCGGAAAATAATACCGAATGCGCATAATGACACTACGTAATAAAGCTCTGTGAGAGTCTCTTTCATTCAGTGGTATAGGAGGAGATGCGGATAAAAGTACCCCTTTACCATTAGATTGGCATTTTTCATATTTAAGTAATCCCTGTCTAGTTTGTTGGGTACGCCAGGGCATCAACGACAGTTGGAACCGTGGGATAATACTATCCCGTGTTTCTAACTGTCTTTGATGTCCTTGGCATATAAATGTAAATATAACGAATCACTGTCTAATTTGTTGGGTTTGTCAGGGACATCAACGACAGTTGGAAATGTGGGATCATTGAAGCCCGTTATGCAAAATTTGTATCCTACTTTTCCAACTGTTGTATGTCCCTGACAAACCCAACAAATGAGACGTTGTGTCCTTATATTTACATTTATATGTGAAATAAAAATATTAAAATAGATCAAAAATGTTGTGTAATAAAAATGAAATACACGAAGCATAACATGTTAATTTCCATAGTCCCCGCCTAATAACGTCCTAGTCAAAATGACAGCCTGGGAGATTGACTTGATATTAGAAACATGATCTTTCACTTTAATTTTTTTTTTTAATTCAGTTGTAAATACGTTCAAAGAATTATCAAAGAGAAAACAGTTGGAAATGTAAATATTTTGCTAAGGCTAAAAATACATATATGCCCAATCGAAAAATAACAAAGGAGGTGCACAATAAAACTATATAAGAGAGTTTCTGTGAAAGTTTGATTAAATTTTATTCAGTGGTATAGGAGGAGTTGCAGATAGGAGATGGGTACCCAGACGTACGGAAGGACGGACACCTGTAACCCCACCCCCAACTACAGTATATACCCCCCACTTTTCAAGCTGGGGTATAATAACTAAAACAAAACAAAAAATTATATCGACAGAGAATTCTTACATGTTCCAAAACCTTGTATTCTTTTAACAAATATTGAATACACACACAGAGTTTGGCAGATATTTTTCTTTAACCTTTTTTTATGGGTGGGAAGGGGTTATTGTCATTATTCCTTTTATTACATATGTATCCAGATGTGTCTACATGTACACATGTTGTCGTCAAGGAATGAAAGGGCAATTAATTCATTCAACATAACAATTATAATGTATATTGTGTAATTATACTCGTGAAATACTTCTTAATCTGAGAGAGCATGTCATTTGAAAGAGCGGGATAATATTTTGAGAGCAACAGTGGGGAAAAAAATCACTGTAAAGAGTGTTTCTGACACAGAATTTTATCTACGAATTCAATGAATTTAAAAAAAAATTATTTTCATGCTGACAATATTTCACTGGGAAACAGATAGATCATGTGATAAGAAAAAGGCAGCTCACAGAAATACTATTAAACAAATTTCATTTTAGCGATTAACACTTATTCTTAATTTACAGTGTCTGAACTACATGTGATGAAATTCAACTTTAAGTTCATTAACTCTAAGTTCATTCAAGTAAGGTTGGTGATTAATTGATGAATTTGCTTATTTAAATTTAAAGTTCTTAATAGCAAATCCAAATGAAATGATGTAGTAATGCCCAGATGAAAAATTATACAAATGTTACAAGTATACAAGTGATACAAGTAGTGTATCATTGTGTTGTACAATAGAATTTAATAAAATATCTTAAAATTTGTTTAAGTACATGTTTGGCCTGCATAAAAAGATACCAAATTAAAACTACTGATTCACCTATTACTACAAAAATATTTGTATCAAAATATGTTTAATGTCCTATATATTCTTTCACAAGACAAAAACATATTGGGCATATTGTTTATGGTTTATATGCATATTTAAACTTACCAAAGTTTCAGTTTCTTTCAGAACAGCTAAATTGGGCACTTAAGTGATGATTATTCCTCAGTACAATGATGTGGAGCAATAGCATTAGAGTAAGGATTAAAAACAGTTTTAATGGGAACAAAAAAGTTTGTATAAAGATGTTGAAGGAATATGCAGGCAAGTATAAGCACTTGTGATACAGTATTGTATGGACTTTATTGTGTCTAGTGAGTTCTATAATTCAAAGATGGCAGTGTGCTGGTGAAATGAACAAATACTGGAACACTGCCAAAATGATATTCAGATCCAGGGACCCTCATTTTCCTATTCATTTTCCTATCAATACATAATAATACATGTGTAAAATGTATTTGCTTTATAGAAAAAAGAATATGAAAATTCATAACAATTAAGTTAAACATTATACAATACATGTATGTTTTTTGTGGTCATACGACAGAATCAGTATAGCAAAGTTTCATGATTTTTTTTATTTTCCAGTATTTTTCATTTCAGTCAATCTCATAAAAAGAATTAAATCCCTACATTCAATACAGCAAATCAACTGCATGTAATCACAAATTTCTACAGTGCAAAAATGTGAAAGTAACTTTTGATAGATACGTTATTCACTTTTCATTGTGTATGTGTGTGTGTGTGTGTACAGTGTTTTTGAGTACAATGTACCGGAATATTTGTCACAAGGTGGCATGACTGACTAAACATTTTCTACTGTTGAGCATTACAGGCCATATTACAAGTATCCTGCTCCTACTTCAGTACACTGCCCTAAAAGTCAGGCCTTTGTCTTGCTGTCAGTACAATTCACTGTTTTAAAATATTCAGTTTTCAATCAACAATTTAGCCATTAATCATCCATTCAATTATAAATAAATTGGGTAATTCATCCTTCTTCAAGTACTGATAAATGTATACTATTGTTTATAATAAAAGAATATATTAAAAACAATTCTAGAAATAAGTGCATTACTGATAGGCCGTACTATTTTTTGTGAGAAGCAAAATGACTGAAACTAATTCTCTCTGTCAAACACTATAACTTTGAAGTTTAATCCCTTTATTTACTTGATTATATTTATTTCATCAAAGGGTATATAACAAAGAACATTCAAAATGAACTTGAGTATTATTAAGCACTAATTTGAGAGCCCTTTTGAACAAGTACATAGAATGGATCAATTCATACAACATATATTTGTAATTATATGCATAAATTATTGCTATATTTTATTGTTGCATAAAATTAGAGGAGATGAACCTGTATATATATTTATATAAGTAGCTACAACAAATTAATTTTACTAAATGTGTCAGCATTAAGTCTCTAATAATTCCTTTGACAATTTTCTACATGTATTTTAAATTAACTCTTTTGGAATTTAGCAGTCTTTCTGTGCATGTTATACTTTTATATCCAATTCTTCTACACAGAAAGAAAGTTTTAAATTTGATAAATATTACATTTGCATTCTCCTCTATTTGTACAGTTTTTTTTAGAAACTAAACTGAGTAAAAGGAATATATACACATTGTCATTCACTTTATAAAAACTTCATTATTTGAAGCAAATTCAATGACCTGTAATTCATTTTATTTTACATGAACATTCACATATTATACTAAATTTGAGTAAGGATTTCATTTAGTTCATATGTTTAAGATGTGTTTTAGCTTACTTAACCTATCTCATTTAATCTACCTTACTTTCCTTTTGTGGATAATTATATCTATTGATGAAAAAAGTATATGGATTTCTTTTAAAATTACACTATACAATTTTAAATGCAAATGCAACTAGTACTACTACAGTTGTAATTATTTCAGCTATAACAGAGATTATAATAATTTTCTATACAACAAAATTAAAGCTGTTTAATGTTTATTAACTAAAAATATCATTACATTTTCAACAATTAAGTTCTATAACTTATTCATTGGGGAAAAAATGATATTTTTGAAAGTGATATTTTACTGTGAAAAACAAAAATCAAAAGTGCAGCAGAACTCTTGATCTTCCTTCCTTTCATGAAAGTGTTATTTGAAAAAATACTCCCTTGGCTATAACACAATAGCAAAGGGGTGTAAATTTCCCTCATATTTCACTAGCTTGAGAAACTGACTAGTGCATAACATGATATCAATAGTCAATTTACAAGTAAACAATCAAACTGAAACATTTTTAAATAATTCTAAAAAAAAAAAATGCAGTGATTTAAAGTATATTTATGTCACTTGTCAGCTTTTAAGAAAAGTTCGGTCAGAATCTCTAACTTCATAACTATTCATTATGATTCCATATTTATAACATATTTGAATTTATCAATGCAAATTATACAATATTCAATTTAAAAACTGCTCACAAAGTCATAAAGAAACACAATTCATGGGGACTATTTCTTGTGGTGGAAGGATATGTAGAAGAAAATTCTTCAAATCTACATATTTGCTACATTTATTATCTTGGAACTTTAGCCCCACATATTTTTATGCAGAGAATATTTTCCGTTATTATATGTTAGGAATATTAAATATAGATTTCAATGTATATTTTTTAGAACAAATTTTACACATTCACTCAACAGACTTTGCCAAGAAATGAAGATATATAGATAAAATTTACACAGTTTTTTGCCTGAAAATCACATATTTTGACCAATATTGCAAAATTTACATCACTGACCCCAACGTTTTCTTTCATTATTTTAAACAATACAATATTTCAAACCAATTAGCACTAAAGTGATAGAAAGTTTGATACAAGAATAAAATTATTGCTTATTTAAGATTTTTAATACCCTAAATATGATACATTTTTAGTGCAAAAAGGTCACACAATAATTTATGTGCATTAATTTGCATGATCTGTTCAATGTTACATATTATTCAAACTATTTTATGTAAAATAAGATTATATTTTTGCCACGATTACATCGGATTTATGATAAAGATTAAAGTGATTAACCTAAGAGTTACAATTTAAGTGCAAAAAGGTCAAGTTAATTGTTCTGTTGCTCAGTAAGATGCACACTGACCTCCCGTTTTCTTTGCGATTTTGAATCAATTCAAGCTATACGAGTACTTATCTAAAATATACTTTTTTTTTAAAAAATTCATAATATAACTAATTTCAGGAGTATGTGACATATCTTAAGTATTAGTGACTTAAAATACTTTAGTAAAGTAGTTCTTAAACTGTGTTTGGTGAACCAGCTATGAAAAAATCAAAAGTAACACTACTCACTTCTGAATTTAAAAAAAAAAAATTAAATGTTTTTCAAATATTTTTTTTTCTGCTGAATACTTCTGGTCCTATGCACCATTGGTTAGTGATAATTAACTAATTTGCCCCATAAACTTTTGGTCTGGGACCTCAGACTACTGTATTTTTAAACCCCTGTAGCAAGAGTACATCCTAACACAGACTTAAACTGCATGACCAAGTTTCTCCAAATACGCTCTATTTCCACTATGGAAGAGTTATACTTCTTAGTGCGCTCTTTTGTGAAAAAATCGGAAAATGTACAAATCTCGCGGCATTTCAGGGACAAACGTAACGTAAACATGTAAACAATATGTTGAATGTCAATGAACAAATCCTAAGAAAATGCAAATGAAATATTTTATTGTTGTGGACTTTATATACATCAAGAGTAGGAATGACAACGATATCTATTGTTGATCGTATGTATCTATTTATCGTATGATACATCTAAATACAATACACATGCCTCGGAAATGTCGTATTTTTTTATTAATGGATGATAAATTTAGGGTTCTCGCTCTCTTACATATGTCTTTAAATTCTTCTATTCTTTAACTGGAATGACAAATACATTTAACATTAAAAATTGGATTGAGATTGGCATGTTTTGTATTATCCACAACGCCATGCTGTCCCAGTCAGACGACCAAACGTGCCTCTAATTTTGAAGAGTTCACTAATGGAAATAGAACGTATTGTTGTTATTTTGTTAATATTTCAATCACAGAATTGTTTAGCTCTCTCACAACCTATCATAAATGATGTCACAACCTACAAATCTGTGCTACAAAAAGGCAAAAGGAAAATTAAGGAACGTGTAATAAACAGAAATTCAACATTTTATAGTTGCCTGGATATGGAATTAATTTCATTCGTGAGACAAGATTTTCTTTTTCACTATTGCTTTGCATTCATGAAAATATTTTTAAAAAATAAATCCTGTTCCACTTGTGAAATAAATTCCACATCCAACGACAAAACATTGATAATCCTCTATTTATTACATTTTCAAATATACTGCAATTTAACTGGGGAATAAAATTAATATTTTCCAAAGTTTACTCAAGACATATCATATATTCACACTGTGAAAATAGCACAAATGTTTTATTTTAAGTGAAAAAAAGGAAATGGATGTGCATATGTCAAATTTTAAGTATTATATAATGGCAAAAAATTTGATTCTCCAATATTTTCAAGTTAAAATTAGCATTTGTTTTCATTTTGGTTGACAAGCTTGAGAAGTAGAGTAAGTTGTTATATCAAAACTGATACTTAAACTTGAACATGTTGAAACAAATTGTTTCATTGTACAGGCTTATTTTTTTTTCAGCATCACTCTATTCACTTGGTAATTTTGTTTACAACCTAATGAAGGGAAAAGGAAAACCAAAGATATTAAATAATAAACAGAAAAATCAATGTTTTTCAGTTGCAAGATGTTCAATTTAATTCACCCATAATACATGCTTTTTTACCTTATATTTTCACTTATGCTAAATGCACTCATGAAAATATCCATAAAAAATCCTGTCTCACTTATGAAATTATAATTCCATTTCAACTATATAAGATTGAATATCCTCTTTTAATATTACATTTAAAGATAATTATTTCAAAACTGGACTTTCTATGAATAATGAGTTATAAAGATATACACTATAGAAACTGCAATAGCTATCATAATTTTAATCATATTTTTATGTATGTTGCACAAAAAGTAAAACATCATATTTAATACATTTGCATTTTAACGCATGCGTTTTTTAGTGCCACTTAATTATATTATTAATTTCTAATGAAAAATAAAATATAATTGCAAACAACACAAAACCAATTCACCTGGAGTCACCACTACACTTTATTGTACTATCGGTATGACTGTCAAGTGAACACGTGAACTTGTGTTCCTGTCTTTTCATGCATTTTCCTACAATAATTATGTTAATTTACGATCCCTTCTCATTTGTATGATAAATTAAGACTGACATAAATTTTTTTTCCATTGAGTTAAACTATCCAAAATTCAAACGATGTAGAAACCTACCCACATTGTTGCCCAGGCGCAATGCCAACTTGATTCTACTACAACTTTAAAACAAACTGTGTGGATGATATATGAAATTCTTATTGGTAAGTATTGACCATTTAATAAACAAAATAACATTTCGGACTGTACTTAGCAAACTTTAAGTTTGATAGTTTCATTAGTTGTCTGATTTTGTTTTTATTTTTATCTAAAGAAAATACGAGTTATTGCGCCTGGTACGTCGAACCCGACGCAAAGCCGAAGCATCACAACACACCCGCAAAAATAACAATAAATGGGGAAAAGTCTGCATATAGGGTAAATCATAAACAAACCTTATCTTCCATGGCTTCCTTTTGTATTATTGAGTCGTTCAATATAATTTACTGCAAACATTCCATGTAGGATATGAGAGTTTTTTTTCAAAGCATGACACTCGCTCACACTTTGCTAGGAATCAATGTAATGGCGGTCGCCTTCTGTCAAGCGAAGCGAGTCGGTGCGCGTGACGTCACTCTAATCTTTTGTACCTTACATTGCTTTCTAGATCAGAAATGGAACAATGAATGTGGTCTTTTTAAAACCAAGAGACAAAACGAGACAAACAAATTAAGGGGAAAAAATATAAATGCTAAATACAATAGACAGGGACTCGCTTTAACACAACATTGTTTGTAACCTTCCAGAATCAGTCTTACCTGAGGTTGAACACAGATCCCCTAATATATGTATATGCATGCAATCACAAAACACCATCTATCAGCTGGGTTCCCTCGTGCAAGTCTAGCGCGTACATTTAACTCTGTGCGAGCATTTTGGTCGCATGTCCTGATATAAATAAATTCTTGTGTTCGACATTCATGAGTGATAAAGTGTATTTGGCCTAACGTTCAACTCGACGCTCAACCATAATCTAACCTGTCGCTTCTAGTTTTGCCATATCAAAAAATAATCATACCTAAACCACATCTATCTCTTTTATCAAGTTTACCAAGGATGAAATGATGATTATAAAAGGTTTCGTTTGGTCGGATATTTAAATTATAAGTATCGGACTACATGTATATGTATATACAGAATTACTGTACTGTAGAAAACAATTCGATAGTTGTTGCCAATGGCTTTGTTGCCCGTATATGAAGTAATCTGGAAGCGTACCAAGTGACTACAAAGTAGTGCTCACATTGTAATAAACATGTGTATGTTATCTATCGTTATACTGGCGTTTTACTGAGACCATAACAATTGTACAAATTATTACTTTATATGCAGAAACATTCATTATATGATATTGACATCTAAGTCTTAAAATTGAAATAAAGGTAGATGTATATGAATAGTCATTCAAAGATCAATTACAGCTTTACGATTTTATTTTTCTTTCATTTATATCATTTCAATTATCGTTCAAACTTATTTCATTTTTGCAACAACTTTCTATGCATCGTTAAAATATGAACATCAATTTTTTTTAAATTTAATTTTTTTTATTAATAATAATTAACAAAATCTTTTAAAACATATGAAATACATTTACAAAATGAACATTTAAAGTATTTTTTTTTTAATAAATCTGTTTTATAATTTTGCAAAACTTAAAGTTAAATATACTAAAAAAAATTAATATAACTATAGACATGTCCATTCAAGCAATTGAAAAAAAAAACTTGTTTGTACTTGTCATCGTTCAAATCATGTCGCCAAAGTATCCATTACATGTATAGGAAAAAGTAATACGTGTGCATGTAAAAACCACTATAAGAAAAACACCGTTCCCATGTTCACCTTTTAATATTTCCTTTCTAAGGGATATGCCAAAAGGCGTATAGATTACAAATTCTTTCGTGATAATAGACATTAAAAGTATTATTTTTCATTATGGCAGAACGTACATGTATGAGATAGTGAGTCGTAATTGAAAACTGGTTCATATTCCTGGAATGTTTTTTTTTTTTTTTTTTTTTTTTTTTTTGCAGGACACAAAACAGATATGAAAGAGAAATATACATTAAACGTAAAGCTATTACGACCAGAATTATATATTTAAAGACATATTTATATGGCATATCAAATTTTATATATCAAAATAGGCTTTTTTATTTGAAAAAGTAAGTTCTGCGCACACACATACCCTCACACCCACTCACAAAGCTAATATACCCCTCCCAAAATTACTTTAAAAAATTAGTCAACTATTGTCTCTGGATTAACCCATCAGACATAACTACGTGTGTCCTGTTAAAAATATAACCTTCCAAACACACACAGAGGATTATATTAATTTACGCCGTATATACCTTTCATATCACAAAATCATAGCTGAGTGACGTCAACATGTAGACAGATTAATCTTTTTTTTATATTTCATAAAAATATAAAAAACACTTTAAAAGATAAGAAAATGCTAGAATTCAGTTGCTTAATTTGAATAATGTTCGTGTTATTTTGTTTTCATTTTGGTTGACAAGCTTGAGAGGTAGAATATGTTTTTTATACACGACATCAAAACTGATACTTATACTTGAAAAAAAACAAACCTAAATGATCAAAAATGACAGAAGAGTTTGCAGATAAATTAAGCTTGGTATCACTAAAAAAGGTAACAAATAATGGAAAGATAAATAAACGGGGGTATATAAGACCCATTTCTGCATCCTGAAACATTCCTTGGAATTTTTGTTAAAAATAAAGATGGACGCCAGATATATACTACCTGCAAAAACCAAAACGCATATAATTATGGAATATAAAACAATCGCCGAACTTTTAAAGGGTTTGATTTTGTGGTCGTCAAGGCAAGAAAACTTTAAAAAGAGTTCAACAGAACTTAATTCTGTCTGGGCTTTAAACAAGATATATTACCTAGTATTTAATTTTTACACAAGACAAATCAGATCCTGTCCTAGTTAAGAAATGGAGATAAGAACACGTCTAATAGGAGGAATAATAACACAATAAAACGGCGCCCTAGTGAAATGAGAGATACTTCAAGGCTATATTGAAGCAACTTTATCAGATATATGCTAGTGTGTATATTCCGGTCGTACTGACATACAAAACGCAAAAATATTTATGTACATTTGATTAAACATTGTACAATTACAAATTAACTATTATTACTCAGAGTATATGTCTTCATAATTTTCATATATATTACTTGTATAAAATAAATTTTTGTAAATTATCTCAATTTATTTGTTATAACAATCATATTGTATTCATTGTTTGTATAACAAGGAGAGGATCTATTAAGTTGAAAGAACTTGTATCGAATTCTTTTGTATGTATTATACAATGAAATATGTTCAAACCAAATCAATTATCATCTAATGTAGTCTTGTACGTGTAACGTATACATGTGTACATGTGTAGAACAGAATGTGATGATTTGACAAATAATAAATGCATTTTTAAAAACAAACTTCTAGACTCTAAATTGCATTTTCTTACATCAATACCAAGAACAACTTTTGATCATAGCCTCACATTCCCCTTGTCAGTTTAGATTAATGCTTTCTTTGGTTGTTAGTATGGGACTTAATGTTGCAGCTGTTGCAGGAAAAAATATATAACCCGCGTATAGCTACAACGTTAATTCCCATACTAACAAACAAAGAAACACATTTTATTGTTTATATTTATGTCTGTGTAAATACATGTAATTATATTTTAAAAGTAAGATTAAGTACGCTGAATATTGTATTATTGATATGTACGTCATTGTATGTTTCATTGATGGAAGAGCCACTGCTCAAGAAATCTATACAGGTGGCTTGCTTAGCGGCATTAAAGTCTCTATAAACGAACATATGGTTTTCATAATAATATTCAGTGGATGTAAATACTACAGGATAGACCCGATAGATTTGATTAAATATTGAATTTTGAATGCTAAGTACATATCTTTTAATTATCTCTACAAAACAACAAAGTTACAAAAGTTCGGCAAAAAAGAAATAGTTGAAGGTTATGTTTTTGGTAATTATTTTCCAAGTTCTCCACATAGCGTGAATCATGTTGAATATTTCCATTGTAGATAGGCTATGCTTCATACTCATATAGAAAATTATTAATGTAGTGAATGATTTGTATTGTTCTTCTTCTTTTACCATGATAGCAACAAAGAACGGATGGCTATAAATATATGTGTGCTTTAGTATCTGCAAGATAAATCTCTGCAGAGTGTCATCTTGCACTGTAGATAAAAAATGAATTCAACGGAAGAACAATATACTATAAATAGTACCAGTACGAAAATTCATATATGAAGGAAGGAGGACAAAAATGAGTGTATTATAGTCCATCCTTAACAGATAGACCTTAAAGTGTCTTCATTTTACATTTGCTCTATCTTTGTTCTTTTATTTTTCTTCTTTCTCTGTCATATGTATCTTTTTATAGCTGTGTTATCATAATTAAATCAAATAACTTCCTGAGTGTTTTGTCTCTTATGTAGCATAGAAAGGGGGAGAAAAAGTACTTTGTAAAGTATTTTTGTTTCACTAATCTTTTCTGAAAGTTTAAGAACACCTCGAAATTGTAAAATTGTCATCCATGAAGTAAGCTCTTTTCATAACGGGTTATTATTCATGTGGGTATTCTTGAATTGTTTTGCAATTTATGTACACTCACAATACAAAGCTTTCTAACCTTTAGATAACAATCCCGTTTGTATTTTTCTCACCTTCTAAAGATTTTTTAAACATGAAAAGTATTTTGCGTAGAAACCTTTTTGAAACTTAAGAAATAGCTAAAAAAAATGAATGCTGCAATTAAAATGTAAAACTCCTTTGTGAGAGTATTTTTGTGCACAAAATAGTTTTCTTATCAACAATGCTTTCCTTTGACACTAAAATAATATTCTATCTAATATTTTTTCTAAATCTATAAATAACAATAGTTAATTTGACGGGAATGTTAATTAATCATATTCCATGGTACGGAGATCTTTTAATGATTTGTTTTAGTCTTAACTAATAATTAAGGTTTAAGTAACGCGTAGAATTATTATATTTTAACAGCAAAGCAAAATTCTCAAAAATAAAGCTCATATTGTTTTAAATGAACATCAGTTCTTCAAAAATGCCAAGAGAAGTCTTAGCGTTCAACACTTTAAGTCATTGTAATTTCCACCACAACACGACAAATTCATTAAGGTTAAAAAAAAAACAAACATAAAAACTTTCATTTTTCCAAACAAAGTTTTGTAGGTATAAAAACATGATATGAAATCTGTATCCAATAACATCACTCTTAGTCTGATTCAATGACTTTGTCAGCAAATACAATCTACCATTAAGTCGAATGCTGAGTGACGATTTTCGTATTAATTGTTAGGCCATTATTTAAACACTGAATTTTCTAGATTTTTCCGTTTCTCGATCATGAGAATGAGCACAGACAGGTGTGACCGGTCGACAGGGGACGCTTACTCCTCCATGGCACTTGATCCCACCTCTGATGCTTTTAGAGGTCTGTGTTTGCTCTGCTCCCGATTTGT